AGATAGATAGATAGATAGATAGATAGATAGATAGATAGATAGATAGACAGACAGATAGATCCCCAGTCTTTTAATAGAGCTCCAGTCCCACATCTCCTATTGCCTAGTGGGTATTTCAAACTGGATGTCGCACTGGCATCTCAAATCCGACATGTCCAAAACAGCTCACTCTCTCTTTGTGCCCCTCCCCACCTGATCCACCCCTTGGCATTATCCTCAGACCTTCTCTCTACCTCTCCCCACACAGTCTCTTCTGCTTCCCACATCTCTTGCATCCATCTCTTCTCTGCTCACAGAGCCACTATCTGAGTCTAGGTCCTCGCCACCTCTCACTTGGATCATTGTAATAGCCTCCTAATTTTTCTCCCTGCCTCAAGTCTCCCTCTTCCAATCTATCCTTCACTCAGCTACCAAAAGTACAGGTCTGACCATGTCATTCTCCTACTTGATAAGGTCCAGTGGCTCCCTTTTTTTCCAGGATCAAATAGAAACTCCTCTGTGTGGCATTTAAGGCCCTTTACAACTGGGCTCCAATCCATTTTTTCCAAGCTGACTACACATTAGTTGTTTTCACATACTTTATGATCCTGCCAAACTAGCCTCCTCTCTATTTATTGTTGTTGTTATTCAGTTATCTTTTAGTTATGTCTGACTCTTTGTGGCCCCATTTGGGGTTTTCTTGGCAAAGATACTGGAGTGTTTTGTCATTTCCTTCTCCAGCTCATTTTACAGATGAAGAAACTGAGGCAAAACAGGGTGAAATGACTTGCCCAGGATCACACAGCTAGTTAGTGTCTGAAGGCAGATTTGAACTCATGAATCTTCCTGACTCCAGGCCCTGGCACTCTATCCACTCTACCACCTACCATTTCTAGAAGTCCTCAAAGCAGGTTGACAGGGACCAACACAGCTCTTTAGCTTAAATGGGTTTCTTTCTGCTCAGTAAGGTTTTCATTAATTCCTTATTGACTCTCCACTGCGTTCTCTACAGGGCTGGGTCCAAAACTTTTCTACTAACTATAAATTCCCAGTTCTACTTAAATTCCCTGCCTCCTACATTCTAAGAAGACATCCTTGGTTCCTCCTACTTTACAGAGATCCAGGAGTGGGGAACTTGTCCCTCCTTCTCTCTGCTTCTCAGTCTTTCTGTATCTTCACCCATTTCCTTCTCCTCCTGGGGAAGAAATGTCCCTTCTTGCCAATGCTAACCCTGCCACCTGTGCCCTCCAGCCTAGTTCTGCCCATCTCCCACTAGACCTTGCTTCATTTATTAACCCCATTCCTTACATCTTCAATCGCTCCCCCTGTACTGGTTTCTTCCCCTGGGCCTCCAAACATTCTCAGCTTTCCCTGTCTGAAGAAAAAAAAATTGTTCTTGTTCCTTGGATACATCTCAAAAGGCCCTTTCACTTTTTGTCTCTCTTTCACGGCTAAACTTCTCAAGAAAACAGTTTCTACTCATTTCCTTCACTTCTTCCTCACTTACAAATTCATGACCCAGCCCCTTACTACTGATTTCTATCCTCACCAATCTACCGCTGCTGCTCCCTCCAAGGTCAAAAACGATCAACAAACAAATCCAATAACCTTTTCTCCTTAACCTCTCTGCATCAGGAACTGATTTTAACCTTTCTTCTGGTGACTCTGAGTAAGTCACTTAACCTCTGTCTGCTTCAATTTTCTCAGTTACAAAAGGGGGATACTAATAGCAACTATCTCCCAAGGTCATTATGAGGATACAGTGAGATAATATTTGTAAAGTGCTTAGCACAGTGCCTAGAACATAGCAGGTGCCTAATAAATGCTTGTTTCTGCCTTCTTTCCCTAATTGCTTCCTTCTCCAATTCCTTCCTTTCCTTCTTTCTTCCCTCTCTCCTTCCTTCCCTCCCTCCCTACCACTTTTCCTTCCTTTCTTCCCTT